GTTGTATCACATTCGAATTTTGTATTGATTCAAAAATTTATAATGAAATTATCAATTTTTATGCAATGTCAAAATGTGTTCACAAAGTGTTATTTTTAATTTTGTGAGTCAATTACTCAATTACCACAACTCTAACAAAAAAAAAAAAAATCTACCGCAACGTTTAAAAAACGCTGCAAAAGAGTTTTTCGCAACGGTGAATAAATGCTACAAAAAGTCTTCCCTCAACGGCAACACTTGGAAAAACGCTGCAAAAGGTCTTTTGCAGCATTTTTTGGTCGCTGCAAAAGCCCTTTTTTTGGTGTAGTGAGTTTTCTGCTATTTTACGTATAACCTCTACAGTGGGCACTCTTTTCCTTTGAAGATGGCGTTGGATGAGAAAAACTTTGGATATGGATCTTACTGGCATTTTCTTCCGATTTTTCTTTAGATTTTATGTCACTCTTGACCGAATGCTAGATTCCTCTTTTCCGACTTTTAATGCTTTGAGTATACATGTATTTGCTTCTACTTCATTCATTTTTCTAGATCCTTAAGGTTTCTAAACTTTAGTAGGTGGATTTGTGGTCCACTTTGTTTAGTTTTGCGCAGATGGCGCCAGTTTGTTGATGGTAAAAATCGGATAAAATGATTTTATTGATAAAATAATTACAATCGAAGATCAAATGTAAATACAATTAACAAATTTGTTATGGTTTAAATGAGTATAATAATATGACAATATGAAAATTAGATCAAATAAGAAAACAAGATTTACGTAGTGAAATTATACCACGGGCAAAAGAGAAATTTTTTATTAATATGTTTTTTAACCGATTTAGTTAAGAGTCACGCTTTATTCACTTTCCCATGTATTCCTTATTGACAGCATGTATCTAGCCTGTAATTGGCGAACAATTTGAGATCTTTACGCGACCCTTTCACCTTGCTAATGGATGTCTGGGTTTGCAAGTTGTACTCCAAGGTTTAACCCATAGCTAATCTAAATGTGATTCAAACTTGGTAGATTTGTAATGGGAATTCGAAATAAAGTGATTTCATCTACTTCTTCACTAATGAGATTTCCTCAATATAAATACTAATGGATGTATTACCACCAGTAAACAAATTGATCAAGATGCAAGATAGTAATATTTTAATAACTATCTAACAGTAATTAATCTTAACAGTAATGCTAGAAAAATCAGTATCTTTAATTCTTAAGCCAATCTTTTTCATGTATTTAAAACTAGAATCGTGTCCAATTATGTTAATTCAATGGATCAATAGTAGAAAATTCCCCTTAAAACATTTCCAATTTTGATATACCCCATACCTATTGAAAATCACAGAAAATCCCCCTGTATGAAACATTTTGTGCGAAAAACCCCATATCATCCAATTCCGTTAATTTTACCATTAAAAATAGTAAAAATTGTGAAAATAAAAAATGAATATTACAGTTGTGATCCTCAACTTTTTATTTTTTTTTACAAATTACACCAAAATCTTTTATTCGTACCACCCATATTCCCAAACCTTTAAAACTTATCTTCCACCCCACTCCCACCACATCTGACCCTTAACCAAACGAAAAACCTACAAAATTCTTCCCCTATTTCTACTCATCCCTAACTCCCCTCATATCGCCTATGCCCAACCCAACCCAAAATCAATTGTTTCTTCCATTTTCAATCCAAGCCCCCATCCTCCATCAAAGATTTGAACAATACTCACCAAGAAGAAGAAGAAAAAGAAGAATATGAAAAGTCACACCCATTAATTTCCAAGGAAGAAGCGCCAAAATATTATAGTTCTCGTAATCTTATGTTCTGTTCTCGAAGGGTTTCCAAGATAGGTATGCACCCTGTTAGCCTTGTAGAAGCTGTCTTCCAACTGAACCACCATGCGCAAATGTTGATTATTCAACAACATAATTTTAGCAGGAAGGTTTTCCACCCTGACCGTAGCAAGCTCTTGCACATTCACGATGAAAATCCCATCACCATCAATATCAACCACAACACAATCTGGTCGTAGAACTGTAGCTCCAATTGCTGCAGAAAGTCCAAAAACCATAGCCCCCAAACTTCCTGATGTCAACCACTGTCGAAGCCTCACTACAACAAAAACAGCATACAGCAACGTTCTTTGAACGTTGCCATAGGCCTACGGAAACGTTTGGACGTGTGTTGCAAATCGAGGTGTTGTCGTAGTGTAGAGAGATACGACAACATTTTTTTAAAATTGCCGTAGAGATACGGCAACGTTTGGTAAACGTTACGAAAACCACCCTACAGCAACGTTTTCCAAACGTTGCCGTAGGGTGGCTTTTTTTTATAACAACAACAATTTTATGCAAATAGATTGGCAACATTAAAATGAAACATATGAATCAATTTTGGAATTGCATAAAAATTAATAGTTGATAATGTAGACCAGTTTGGTTGAAGATCCCACTCCCTTTTAATCAGGGAACTCAAGATTGAAGCAAATGATAGTTGATAACATATGACATTTTAGGAAATTCTTGAAACACTAAAACTGAAAAATACTAAAAGACATTCACTATCAAAATTCTCCCAATCCACAACTACACTGTATCATTTGCCGATCTGTCTTCATTTTCGCTGTTTTCATCACTCCAGACCTCTTCATTGCCAAGATTCAACTGTGACATTTCTTCGGTGGATAGTTTATCCTCAGGTGCGCTAACCTGCATAGAGCAAAAATTTAAACTAAGAATGACAATACATGAAGATCATTCCGAGAATATTGTAATTATTACAAGGTAAGATATATTGATTTGATTACATTTTATATCCAACCAAAAAAGAAAAAACAGAACAGTGTGTACTAAAAACAAGAAGCGGCACTTACTTCTCTTGGTGTTTTTCTTACAACAAGTTTACCCTTATGCTGCTCTATTTCCTTAGTACAAGCAACAATTGCATCGCTAAGAATTTCTATTCCTTTTGCCTGCAATGAAAACAGAAGTGCTGAATTTCATCCAAAAAAGTTCCATCTTTTATTCTCACTTCAACAGAAACTCGAAGATCAGAGATTTCTTAATATTAAAACCTCTGTATAATTGATTGTAATGTCATAATATCAAGATTTGAATATGATTACAGATAATGTTGGGCGTTGAGTTCATAAAAATGACTTTTCAGCTCATAGGGAAGTACAAAATCTTTCATATAAATCTTAAANAAAAAAAAAAAAAAAGAAAAAAAATTGAAAACTAGCTTATCTCTAACAAAAATTTAACAAAGGAATTAGACATAGGAATAATAAGAAAGACCTTGATGTGAAGGAAGGGAAGAAGAAAGCATCGACCTTCGTGCTTGTGAAGAATCTTGCACTTTCCCTCCAAGAGGTCCTTGCTTGAAGGAGATCCTGGACTTGCACAAGAAGTTTCAAGTCGGTTTTTTGAATAAAATTTACTCATGGATGTTCATATCCAACATCATGGCCAACCATTTGTGCAATAATGAATAATATAACAATAGAAATAACAAGGAAGTTCCAACCTACAGTTTGATAATGTATAAATTTCCTGCCTTTTATATCGTAAAAAATCATTTCCCAATTACTAAATCGTACAAGTATTCACCATATAACTGAACTATATTGAGGGGTGAGTTATGGATTTTAATCTTAATTCATATTATCAATCAAAATTCAAAGGGGCTTCTCATTGTTCAAACTGCCACCATGACATGAGATTCTAATTTCTGATAAAAACTCAGTCAACAACAATGATGAGGCTATTGACAATCCGAACAGTGCATAGAAAACTAGAGAATTAGATACACAGTTGCTAAGAACTCAACCTCCATGACACAAGAAATAACAAGAATTCATGTCAAACATGTGAGACCCATATTTTTATGCATTACTACATCTACTGAAGTCCAAAATCTATGTGAAGGAACCTCTTTCAACATTGGCCTAGTTTTCATTCGCAAGAGCCCCTTTGGGGGTGTAGTCAATCACGAAGGTCGATGCCTTCTTCTTCCCTCCCTTCACAGTACCGTCAGCTGCTTCTCCTTTACTCATTTTCTTCAGTTTCAATCAAATTCTTCCACAACAAACTCTGAAATAATTCCGTAAAATAACAAATTGGAAGAAAAAATCAATCATACATGACGACTGGTGCATATTCTAGGTTTAATTCAGTTCGAGTTATAGTTGTTTGGACCAAATTAAGGTGATATTCAGAGTCACCTAGACATGGGCAATCGACCAGAAGTGGTCTGCGATCAAGGTGGTGGCCGGAGGAGGTGATTCCGACAGTTTGTACAGTTTGGCCTACTGGGTTGGAGAGGAACGAAGGGAGATGTGAAAAAATTAGGGTTGGGTTAATTTGGGTCGCATATGTTTAAAAAAATACAACATTTCACAACATTTGGCAAACATTCTCATCTTTCGCAACACTCAATAAACATTGCTAAATGTGTCTACTGCAACATTTTTCTAAAAAAAGTTGCCAAAACTCATTTATTAATACCAATGGCAACATTTACGAACTAAAATATTGCCAAAAGACCCTTTTGGAAACATTTGACAAATGTTGCCTTTTTAGTGTTGCAAATGACTATTTTTGTTGTAGTGCCTATTGTACTTGTAAAATTGAACAGACCACTCTTGGTGCTGCCAACACCAGTACTAATAGTTGATTTCCCTCTCATCAGCTCGTCAAGAAGCTGAATAGCATATTGAGGATAAATGGCATCTTCAAATGTCTTGTACCTCAAAGGATACTTTATTTTCTGCTCCTTTAGTTCCTGTCTCCACACTGAAAAATCGAGCTTAACCTTACTTCATCTCCCTTTCCCCTCTAATATCAAATTCAAACCCTACAAAGCCAACTTAATATCTTCACAAATGGACACATGAGGTTGCTTGTTCTTTTCAATCTCAGCAGAATCAATATCAATACTTGTTCTTTTTCCTTCTTCTTTTTGGTGGGTATTGTTCAAATCTTTGATGGAAGAGGGGGTTTGGATTGAAAATGGAAGAAACATTTGATTTTGGGTTGTGTTGGGCATGGGCGATATGAGGGGGGTTTGAGAGAGTAGTAGAAATGGGGGAAGAATTTTGTATGTTTTTTGTTTGGTTTGGGGTGAGATGTGGTGGGGAGTGGGAGTGGGAGTGGGGCGGAAGATAAGTTTTAAGTGTTTGGGAATATAGGTGGTACAAATAAAAGATTTTAGTGTAATTTGTAAAAAAATAAAAAAGTGTAGGATCACAACTATAATTATTCATTTTTAATTTTTGCAATTTTTACTGTTTTTAATAGCAAAATTAACAGAATTGGACGGTAGGGGGTTTTTCGCACAAAATGTTTCAAATATGGGGGGTTTCTGCAATTTTAAATAGGTATGGGGGTATATCGCAATTGAAAATATTTTTAGGGGGCTTTTCTGCCTTTAATCCTAATTCAATCACATCTTACATAATAGTTTGAAAACAGATCGGACTCTATTCACTCTATTGTAGGCACTGATTCAATTAATACTTTCTTATAGTAGGAACAAAATATAGATATAATTGTCCGCATCAAAATTAAAGAATCATATATGCATACACAAATTTGAAACAAATTCACATAAATTAATTATGTAAAAGAGCATACAAATAGAATATAGATACACAGTGACATATGTTTAAGATTGTTTGATAAATTGGTGACTGAATTTATTTTTCACTAGTCAAAAATACGTGCATGCAAAGACTATAAAATCGCAACTTATACTTGCAAAATATCGAATAGAATTATGACTTATCGAAACAAGATACATGCACAAAATCCGACTTACTAAAATATAGAAATTAGAAATCAATGAAGTGAGGTATGATAATGCAAATCTCGTTAAGATGGATTTGACCCGTGCACCGGTGCTAACATGATCAAATGGAAGTATGTCTTCTAAGATACAATGGTTTTTTCAAAATTAATATTGTCCAATATTTATTTTGTCGGGCAAACCAACGCTTGACTATGCTCTTCAAGACCTGAGATATCGAATTCTAGATATCAAACATGAAACTAAAAAATAGTTTTAAAATTATTTTGGCATAATTTAGACAAGGAAGGAATTGTAAATCAATTATATGGAATTAATTTGGAGTAAGGAAAATGAAATTAGAATGATCATATTTATAGATTTTCATGTGTCTCTCCAAATGGTTGCATCTTTTGGCAAAATTAATTTCAACAATTAGATTGCACCATTTTATTTTGGGATAATTGGAGTAAAAGCCAAAAACTTCTGTTGTAATCGTTACCTCTAACATTTCCAAATGTTGCACGTGAAGTTATTCTTGACAGTTTTCATCCACAATTTCATCAGTTGACCAAAAATTTATCTTTGACCACATTTTTAATATTTTAAAAAGGGACAAAAGTGTAACTTTCTATTTATCACAATCATCTTCTTCCTTTCCCACATGCCCTGAAAAAAATAGATGATTTCAGGTCTTTTCTGGCGACGGCCGTCGGAGATCTACGACAGTTCCCATTCAAATCTAGAGCAAATTTAAGTTGTTCTGAAGTAAACTTTCACAAAAAAAAAAAAAAAACCCTTATACCTAACCCGTAGCTAGTGTGTCGCATGATTGGGATGCAGAATCCAAGCCCTATATAGAGTAGATTACAGCATATGACACAATCTTTGTGATATTTTTCACATAGAAGGTGCATTTTTTTGTATACGTGAGAAAAGTGTATGGATTTTTACAAAAAAAATAAAAACCAAATCACCACACCTCAACCACAGATCTGCAGCTAACAATTGCCCAAATCTACTATGGTGAATCTCCAGAGCCGCAACCACCACCAAAAAAAAAAAAAAAAACCCCTAAACCTAACATGTAGCTAGTGTCACATGATTGAGATGTAGAATCCTAGCCCCATATAGAGTAGTTTACAGCATAGGACACAATCTCTACGATATTTTCACATTGAAGGTGCTTTTTTGTGTGAGAGAGAAAATGGTACAAATTCCAGTGCAATTAGTGATGGACACGGTAAAGTTTCAGATACTTTTATAAAGTATAAGTTTTTTTTTCTG